TTGTTTGGTCAGACATTTACACATTCATAAATCGGGGATTAAACGTTGAGTTATGTTCTGTATGCTAAATATGAATATATAAACAAGTTTATTTGCACAGTACCTATAACTGCGCTTTGCATCTGCTTTCTGCTGATTGCTGATCGAGATTGACTCACATGCTAAATGGCCGACTGACCCGTTACACTCTCATTCATTTCATTCATGAACGAGATGTACCAGTTCATTCAACTCGTTCACGAACAACATGTACCAGTTTGGTCATTTCGTTCACTTCATGAACGAGGAGATCTCTCTCGTTCAGACTCAAAAGAAACTCGGTCAGTGAAGGGCGTATTCGTTCACTACATTCAACAAATCGTATGCTCTGTCACATCTCATACTCGAAGGCTATTGGCTCGAGGTTTAGTCATTCTTTGACAGGATGAAACAGTTCACAGAGCTACCCGGTTCACACATGCGCTGCTAATAGCGCCGCGCTGCTCTGGAGGGAGGAATTTCAGTGAACGAGAAATATGAGTGGATGGATTACGTGAACGAGAATGATTCGTTCACCTAAAAGATTTGTTCAAAAAGAACGATTCTTTCACGAACGTAACATCACTAGCAAGAAGAAGAAGAAGACGACGTGTCACACGCCGGCTGTTGAGAATGCGCTCAGGACAGTTTGGACATCGGTGAATCAGAAGTAAAAAACGATATAAATACTGTTCAGTTTCTTGCACAGACAGATCGTTTCGTGTCTTTACACATCAGTGTATCGTCACGAGCCGAAGGGTTTAATTTGGTTTTGTTTGTGTATGTTTTTTTGACTCTCAAAGCCATGATTTCCATTCACCTCCATTATATGACTGAAAGACAGCGACGGTTTGAGTTAAAAATCTTCGTTTGTGTTCTACTGAAGAAACAAAGTCACCTACATCTTGAATGCCCTGCGGGTAAGCAGATAAACATTAGATTTTCATTTTTGGGTGAACTATCCCTTTAATCTATCATCTGAATCAGAAGGGGTGTTGCCGTTTCAAAAGTGGGGTAACCTTATTGCTAACAATCCGGGCTGGTAACCAAAAGGCTGCAGGTTGTTTCAGGAGGGCACTCCCTATAATAATTGTCTGTACCTCACTTTTAAAGAGAGTTA